CATAAGAATGGATCTCTATCGAGATCGTGGGGAGGATTTAATTAAAGAAAGACGAGAAGGCAGCAATTAACAACAGCCTAACAAGAATAGAGAAGTCAAGGCACGAGTCGAATACACAGAAACAAAGAAGAGAGCGTACAGGAGTATTATAGCCAGCAAGCAGAAATACGTGGAAGAGGTAGGAACGACAGCGAAAAAGGCTACGAGAGATGGAAATAACAAACAACTACATGACACAACGAAGAAACTGGTAGGGAAATGTAGTAAATCAGAGAGATCTGTCAAGGATCAGGAAGGTAAGCCGATCACTGGGATTTAAAAATGGAAGAAAAGATGGGTATAACATTTTGAGGAACTCTTGACTAGATCAGCTTCATTCAATCCACAAACCTTCCAATAACTGTCACTCACCAACGATCGAAGGCCTCGACATACACAACGGAAAAAACAAGATCCTCAAATACAACACGGATAACACCAACTCAATCATACTTGACGGTGAAACTCTGGAAGAGGTGGAAATTTTCATTTATCTGGGTAACATCATCGATGAATATGGAGGATTGATGCAGACGCGAAGGCAATGATTGGAAAATGCAAAACAGCATTCCTACAATTGAAGAACGTATGAAACTCAAAACAACTGTCAATCAGTATCAAGGTCACAATCTTCAATACGAACATCAAAACAGTTCTTTTGTACTGAGTTGAATATTGGAGAACTACCACAGCCATGATCTAAAAGGCACTAGTATTTCTAAACAATTGTCTATGCAAAATGCTCAATGTCCGTTGATCGGATACCATTAGTAACAGCCTAATGTGAGAGAGAACAAACCAGCTTCCATCTGAAAAGGAAATTAGGAAAAGTCGTTGGAAGTGGATTGGACGCACACTGAGGAAATCGTCAAACTGCATTACAAGGCAAGCTATGACTCAATCCTGAATGGAAACGGTAATAGGCAGACTATGGAGCACATTGCACCGGGAATTGGAGCCAGACATCAGAAGAATGGGTAGCTATCGGGAACAAATGGAAAAGCTTATCCAGGACACAGTAGGATAGAAAATGGTGGTGGATGGCTGATGCTTCATAACGGGTAGCAGGCGTAAGTAAGTAAGTAATTAAGAGCTGATACAGGGAATATATTTGTCAGACTAAACGAAAGTCACACTTATCATATTGAACGAAGAAGATATTGACCTTAAAGCGTCACAACTGAATGAAGCTCATGCCTGTCACTGTGGTCGAAATTCACAAGGAATTGGCCCAAAATATATTGGCCTCAATAATTTTATCTTTTTATCCCGTTATATCAGTGATTAATTATTGCGATAAATAAGCAGCATTCATATTGTATGTCCTTAATTACTTTTTCTCATTCTACTTTTGCACCTATATACATACCTACTTACATATACCTATCTCTACACAAATGCCTATTTATTAACAATAAATAGTAATGGTTTCTATAATACTATGAGATCATAATAATACTACAATAATAGTTAGCTTATGTTGAAAAAAACTCGCCTGCAAGGTGGCAACCTCAGCAACAATTGGGATGGTGGAGATTCGTAGCTCAGGTGGATGATTTTGGTAGAGTTCCCAGCTCAGAGAGTGGAACTCCACCAAAATCAGCAACAATATCTTTTCACTCTGTGCACAGATTTCAGTTTTATGTCTGGACATATAAAAATGTATCGAGCAATCAGAGAACAGTTTGCAATTAACCAATGAAATTCAGACAAAAATTGTATGTTGAAAATATAGTTACTTATGAGTAACACAGTTATATTACACAAATCTCACAAGTTGTTCCTGTTTTAATGTCTTGTGTAATAAATGGTCAACAGTATAAGCTTTTCTTGTTGTCCTGGTGAATTTCATTCTTACTTATGATCTAGTAGATCACCTATAGTCTTTTTATTTTGTATGAAATATGAATGATGTTTTCATGAAATTAACGAGAATTTAACCAGAAGTCAATCAACTAAGTTGTATTATCTTTTGATATTCATTGATTTCGTTTCCAGTTTTCTGTTTTGGTTCTGAGCCACTTTATCTCTTTATTCTGTTCAGCCTATTATCAGTTGATTCATTATTTTATTAATCAATTGTAATGTTAAAATAATCTATTCACCGTTCTTGTAGTGTAGTCTTTTCATTTTTTTACTTCATATCCCCTCTTCTCTCTTTTCTCGCATCCCTCTTTTTAGGCTACTAAATTTGCATTGAATTATTTGCAGAAATTTGGGTCCAACTTGAAAGCAGTTTTATTTGGTGGTTCACATGGAGGCTTCTTAACGTTACATTTAGCCTCACGATATAAAAATTTATATCATGTAGCTACAGCTCGTAATCCAGTGGCTCATTTAGTCAGTCTTATTGATACATCTGATATACCGGATTGGTGTTATACTGAATCAGGTTTAGCAGATTGGTGTGAATGGCCTCTTGGTCATTTACCGAATGGCAATGAATTAATGCGTTTGTCAAATCAATCTCCTTTGAAATATTTAGATAAAACATGGTCTGTACCTTTGTTAATGCTGTTAGGTGGGAAAGATCGTCGTGTACCAAATAGTCAGGTTAGTAGTTTTAAATTGCAAGTTGTAATATTTACGAAGTATCCACAATCCAGTGCTTCCAGGCTTTCAATGTTGATCTAGCTAAGATTATTTCGTGATTGGAACTTTAGAAATCCTACAGTTTCCACAAATCCCCCTATATTATTGATGATTATTTGTTCACTAGTGAATAAATGCAAGATACGACTCCTGGGGCTTTAGTGAGAAGCTTTGACCAGTGAAGTTCAACCATATCGATTATGAGGCAGTTACCCACTGGAGACAATGGAAGATGGTCGCGCATTTTTATGGGTTGATTCAGGTTAGATATTAGCACCATTGGATGCACGATCAGTGGTCTATATGTTAAGCGTTCGCGCTCGAGTTTAAAGGTCCTAGGTTTGAGTCCTTCAAGTGCGATCGTGAACACGCACTAACGAGAAGTCTCGTGCTAGAACGAAACGGGCGTTCAGCGCTTCCGGGTTTCCAGTTGTCTAATTTGAATTAGTTCGTGATTTAACCTATTGAAGTTTTATAATCTCTACAAATCCCCTTATACTAAAAAGAGATTGTTTAATAGTTATCTATTTTAGTGTAAATTGTCATCACTCGATACATCTTTATCAAATGATATTTTCTGTCTCATTATTTACTTGTTTATTTTAATTTTAGGGATTAACATTCTGTCGAAAGTTGAAAGCCTTATGTCCAACTGTACCATGTGAAACATTGCTCTATCCATATGATTCACATCCGTTGGATTCACCAGCATGTTCATTAGATGTTTTTGTGAATTGCGTAAATTGGTTTTTAAAACACTTATGAAACTTGTGAAAAAGCATAATTCTGTGTTCTCTTTTCTGTTCATTTTTTTCACTTCGAAATAAATAAGTAAATAATTAACTTCATGTTATTTCGTTTTTTGTGAATGTACATTTTTAAAATTATTTTTGTATACATCTGTGCACACGTATGTATCCTGAATAGCTTAGTGGTGATGTACTTTAGTGCTGGATGTTAATGGGTTTGAATCTTGAGTGAGATGATCTCTAGTGTTATTAGTAGCGCGTAGGCGGTTATCGCTCCCTGGTCACCCACGCCATGGAAGGACAGTTCTTGGGGTCCCTGCAAAGTAAACCGGATTAGTAGTGGTCCTAGCAATCTAAGACTGGGACTGCAGAACCCAAGAGATGACTACTTAGGACTTTTTAGTAATTATTTTTAGATGAGATGGCTTCATACTTTAAAGGCATTGCCATCGGTGACAGGAATCTGTGGGATAAAGTTGAGGTGTGGTACTTTCAGAGTCGACAGCCTTTACCCCCCTTTCGTTGTGGGAAAGTAGCACCGCTGCAGATGCTAGTTTTTAGGCGTTACACCTCTGTACAGTCAACAGTACAATTCCGTTCTCGGATCATTACTTTCTTGTATTTAGTCTTTCCGTTCCTCAAACGACCTGCTTAGAATGGTTGAGTCTAAAGCAACCAATCTTCTACCCAACACTACTCGTTTGGATGATTACTATACGCAAGTTCGACCTTCAAGTCAACTCAGCAGCTGCGGCCAAATTGGTTTGAATAACATAGGGAAGTGCATTTTCCCGAAGACTGTTGATATGTTTTAATGATGAGCGTCAACTAGCATGATATTTAGATCTGAGGTTTAATATCAATCACATCCACCCATTTAGTTCATAAATTTAGAGGAGCTTTTCTATCGTGTTATACGGTAGAAAGTAAAACAGTAGTTTAATATTCTCTGTTGAAAACCATAACACAGCGTGTAGAACGAGAAGATTTGAGAATGTATTTTAAAAGGTTCAGAAGACAATGTCAAAATGCTATGCATCTAGAATCTGCGAAAATTATCACTCTTACTTTACGGTCCGCAAAATATCTCAATCTAGACAACAATGATGATTAAGTCATTGACATGACCTAGTTCATTATTCCGAGTCCTGGAAACTTTAGACGATAGCACATGACCTGTGATTACTAAGTATCATTGCATAGCGAGAAATATGATTCTTCACATACATTTCTAATTGATGTGAAATTACAATAAAGAATATTTTATGGTCACGGCAGAATAAATTGTGCACTAAGATTATTCTAATGTCATAGCAGTATAAATCAAAGTATAAAGTAGAAAAATTCCTACTTCGACCAACAATCTTAATTACTGATTTATATCTTAGCCATTTATTTCTTAAGAATCTATATTTACGTTCACATGTCTTGATTTATCATCTGCTGAAGAATGAGTTGGTGTGTTTAATACTCTATATGAATAGATTCAGTTGTTAAGTCACAAATTGTTAAAAATGCGCCTCTTGAATTCTATTAGTAGCCACAATCATATTTTTTCCGCTTTTTTGATAGAAATGAACTCATCACCTTATATCCTGATTGTCTTATTTTAGTATTAATATGACCAGTATTGACAATTATTTTGGAGAGTTTCTGGACAATGAAGATAATGAACAAGAACAGAATAGTAAACCTGTGAGATATAAATTTGTTTTTATTATTTCCTTATACTTGTTCATATATTTGAGGAACATTAAATAAAATAATATTTAAATGAAGAAATGTTTGTAAATTCCACCGTGGGGTACTTGGTTCAAAATTCTTGAATATTGATTCATCATAATCTATTATAAGGTATGATTTATGATTAAAAGAGTCAGTTTAAATGGACAGGTATGGTTGTATTTTAGGAAGTAGCTAACAGAGTGATATTCAGGACAAGAACATTGTTCTATTTGCGGCTTGTTATATGAATGTATTTGCATTATTATTTATTATTTAAATGCATAAACATTGGTACAAGGAGGCACCAAATACATGTTCGCCACATAAATCAAATGATTTGTGTGACGGCTGAGATACTAGCCGGTGCCTGAACCGAAGCACGTGGTTTTCTTAAGGGTCACACCAGAGCCTTTGACCTGAAGGTCTAGTCCACAAGACAGTGGAGCAGCTTTAGGTGATGTGGTCTCATGGTAGCCGGTGATCAATAATTGGTTCATATGCCATTTGCTTCTTCAGGATCCTGAAACCCATGTGCATCATTCGTTTGGAATCAGGATTTTCCAACTCCCCTATGTGGATCCTCCATACTCACCAACCCCGTTCAAGCTCCGGATATCCACTTTTCGTCCTCTTAATTTCGTAAACAACGGTAATGCCTCGAGAAGGCAGTGAGTAGGTCTTCTGTGGCAGTGGTTGTATGCACGTGACCATGTGAGAGCATTTGGAGAGTGAGAGCTGACTCACCCCACTCCCGGTCGTACCAGAGCATTCGGGGCCAATGTATTTGAATCCTGGTGTAGGATGTTCTTGTCAAAACCCAAACCTAACATTGATCAGATTTCCAACTGTACCAACTCAGTTAAAGAATTACGATAGATATCACTTGTTGAACGGTTATACAACATATTGTCACTTGTAAATGTTAGAATCCATATCTAGATTAACTAACCTCAGTTGACTTGTGAAAGAATCAGTCCTATAAAGATTATAGGTACCCGTGGCTGTGGTGTGTCAACTAGGATGAAATCTATGTCCAGGGTTTTCCGTTGACTATCCCCGACCTTCCAACAAATTAATGAGTTTCATGTTATCAGAACTACAGTGGTGACTTTACTTTGATAATGAGTTTCTAAGTATGTCAGCACAACTAGGTGAGGCCTCAAAATTGGGACTATCATATTAGACTATCAACAGAAAGTGTTGTACTAATGTTTTGAGGATTTAGATGCTTCTTGTAAAATAGTGGCTCATTGATTCAAGTATTTGGCTTTGATTGGTAGGGAATAGGGTTCGGATTCTGTTTCACCCATGTTGGTAGTAGCACCCAGGTTGTACCACTATTTTTCTAGATTACATCATGAACTGACTTTAGACAACTGTTGAAAGCCAGGAAACACCATACAGTTTCTTCATCTTAGTATATGACTACTTAGCTGCTTCGGAAGATGGTTGTACAGCATCGTGAACTGATCAAATTTAGAAATGATAGTCGTTGGTTGTCGAACCAGTGTTCATGGCGAGATTTAAAGGTCTTGGATTATATCCCTGATAGGGCATATGAATACTCACTGTTGGGAAATTCAATACTAGGACAAAACAGCTGTCCAATGATTCTTGGTTCTCAATGGTTGTCCAACTAAACCAGTTGTGATGTAAATTACGAAATTAACCAATTTATACAAACCCTTTTGCGTTAATATCATCATTATTACTTACTCGAACAGTTTAGCTGAAAGCCAAGTACCTAGGCTTTTTTTCCAAGAAATAAGTTATTCCCTGAATACTTCTTCCCTGTTAGGTGCTTACAAACGTGGATTATTGATTGGTTTTTAACTATTTGGTCCCTAATCATACAACATTAAATAATAGTTTGTTTGTTATCTGTATGGACTTTAAATTGTAAATTGTTCTCCTTTTTATTTTTATCTAGCTACAAGACATGCGTTCTGGTGTAATATTTTTAATTGATTGTACGCCGACAATGCTTGGGTTACATGGTTCATTCGATTTAAATAGTAGTAATACAGTGGATTCATCATCAGTAAAAAGTGGATTTGATTTAAGTCTGTTATGTTGTCAAACATTTCAACAGAATAAAGCACTTCATAGTCCTTTTGATATGACCGGACTTGTTTTAATGCGTACAGTAAGCCTTATTGTTACTAACGTTTAGTTGTACTATCTTATTTAATCGAAATATTTTAATTTTTTCTTTTCATTGGTTTGTCTCCTTACATGACAAGGTTTATCTAAAATACTTCTTAATTTTCAATAGTTCACCATCTGACATCACTCCTTAATGAAATTGTTTTGTTTCATATCACCCACTGATGTTGATGTATATAAATTTCAATTAAATATACCTCTTTAGATAAATTGTCAGTTTATTTTATGTTTAAGAAGTATCTCATCATTTTAAATAAATAAGCGGCATATAAACTATATGGTCTTAGCGATTAAGTATTCACCTCGAGATTTTAAGGTCTTGGCTCCAATGACTGCTGTGGAGTCATGATTGTGTACTGCTACGGAGTCCCTTAACAGGACAAAACAGCTGTCCAGTGCTGCCTGGTTTTTAATTAGGTTCAATTTGTAATGTAAAACTTCGAATCTAAGAATTTCCGCAATTATCTATAAAAGCAACCATCATGTGTTTACTAGTGATTAACCTCAAGTGTTAATTCCAGGAGTTTTAGTGAGAAACTATGATTAATGTAGAGTGTAAGATGAACATCACCAATGGCAACAGATGATAGTTAGGCAAACGCGCAAATCGACTGAAGTTGGAATGGTAAAGTGTTAGTCCAAAATTCAAGAACTCGTCGTGGGTTCTAATGATACTGGCTTTCATCCTTATTATATTCGTTGATGTACACTTCTGATGAGTTCCATATTAGAAAGGAATATCATATGCAAAAAAGTATATTTGTTATATATTATTGTCTTTTATCTTTCTTTTAAAGAATGAGTCATCTGTTGAAATGAAGAATATTATGGTTTTACAGGTTAGTTAAAAGTTCTCTTAACTAATTTTCCACATTAATTAAATAGTATGATACTAATTTGGATTGGTGACAATCGTTTACATCTCCCTCCATAATCTTTTATTTTCATATTTTCGATCATGAACATAATCAGTTTGTTTTATCATAATGCCAACTTCTTGATAAAATGTCAGGATACTGTAGGTCTTGGGCCTGATTACCGGTTATAGGGAATCCCATACGACTGTTCATTGCTTTTAGGTTTCCAATTATTATCAAACTTACATTGATTCGTGATTTCAATAAAATTCATTATTCTCCACAACCTTATACCGATATCTCTCCTCGTTGTTTAAATCATTCGAATTAGCAATACATTACATTCTCTGTGTTAAAATGATGTTCCAATAAACATGGAAGTATAAATTGTCGAAATCGTTGCCGACTGTAGTTAACCATTTCGGACTAGTTATGGATAACTTGGATATATTTCATAACAATCCAACACTGTAGTCACATTTGATCAGGTGACAATTTGTGAGATATATTAGTATAATGAATGTTTTTGGGCTTTTGGATAGATCGCCCCCAAATGCCCTGGTACGGCCGAGAGTGGGGAGAGTTCCGCTTCCCTCTCGAAATGCTCTCACATGGCCACGCGTATATAGCTTCTGCCAGGGAAGTCCTACTCACTGCCTCGCATCACGGGTGTTGTTTACGAAATTGAGAGGACGAAAAGCGAATGTCTGGCACTTTAACCGGATTCCAAACCAATGGTGCACATAGGCTCCAGTATCCTGCCGGGACAAATGGCATATGAACCAATTGTTGGTCATCGGCTTCCATGGGACTGCATCTCCTTACGATGCTCCACTGCCTTGTGGATCAGACCTTCAGGTCGAAGGCTCGGGGTGTGGCCCCCTAAGAAAACCGCGTGCTTCGGTTTGGCACCAGGGTAGTATCACAGCCGTCACACATATCGAATGAGATTTTTGTGGCGCATATGTGTTTAGTGCCTCCTTGTACCAATATCTATGTGTTAAAATAAATAAATAATAAATTTGGATAGATCCTTAGAATCCTGTGAAATGTAAACTAACAAAATATATGACTTTGAATGCTCTTATTGAGCAATTACTGTCTAATAAAAACTTTGCATCGTATGAGATGAAGTTGTAAAAAGGTTGATTGTATCAGACCACACAATTCCATCATTTCATGAGGTCACTGATATTAGTTGTGTTAGTTCATGTATTCGCAGTATTCATAATCTGTAGTTGGTATTTTTAGATGGCATCTCTTCAAATCTGTTATAATGATATTGATGTAGTCACTTCATTATTTACCTTAATTCCTGAGTTTCAATAATGCTTTTCATAATTTCTGTTCGTCGATTTAATTGTGTTTTTTCCGGACTATATTCACTATGTTTATTATTTTTGTATATTGGTTGTAATTTTTATTGATTCGACTTTTTCGATTACCATTTTGGCCAATTTCTCATCTTTCTGTTAATGTTGAAATATAATAATAAAGACCAGTATTCATGTGTTCCAACTTCAGTTGTATTCACGATTGGTTAACTGATTAAACAAACTTCACATCATCGAGATATAAAGTAATGCTTCATAACCGGTTTAAACTATTTTTAAATCTCTATAAGGACTAAATTAGATGAATAAATAGTACATTTCCATTTCATTTAATATATATACAGCGATCATTATCAATAGAACAGTATAACTGATGCTTGACAACTTTATGATAATATTATTAACTACTGAGAGCTACAATATAATAAAACTGAGTGTCATAACTCAGTGATACAGAGTTCTTCAAGTTCCATTATACTATGTTACTTAAAAATGTACCGCTTTTCGTTGGCACATTAAATTAATCCAGCTTGCCACTGAACACAAACTACTAGAGTATTTACAAATCAACTGCTTTTTTTTAGTAGCTAAACTTTTGTTGGATTTCTATTGAAGATATTCGTGAGTCAAAAAGAAGTCACATTAGACATCAAAGTATTTATATATATATATATTTTATAATTATATACACGCCTATATATATACCAGGTATCAGATGTCATATACATCGTGCAAATGTATTTTCACTTATTAAAAAAAGAAATGTCAGAAAATTTGCGAAAAAACCCACATTCTTTATGTGTTAATAATCGTTTGTTATAGTTTGAAAATATCTACGATTTAGGTTGAATTTTTGACTTGGCAAAAACCAATACTTGTGCATTCGTTTCTATTGTTGATCGAATATATATGTAATTGAATACTTTTCTTAATTGAGGCAGTTTTTTTTTTTCTAAAGAACATCATTCTCTAGCTTAAGTTGTTGCCGGGATTTATGTAACTTCAGTATTATTCTACTGAAATTAGCATTTATTTAAAGCGCTTACTGGTTATAACATGAGAGATTAAGTCATTAGATTGAATATTTGAACTTTCCATGGGGTTCAGCTAACTGGGTAAACATCACATGTATTCTGTAATATATGCAAAGTTAGTTTTTATTGGCTTTTAGTGTCAGTCAACTAAATTAGTGGTTGGAAAGTTGGTGGTGGATTGGTGACATATAATAAGCTTCAAAGGAAAAGTGGAATTAGTAAATTTATATCGTGATGGTTATATTGAAGAGCGCGAAAAGAAACATTACGAAATGACAAATATTTTCTGCATTAATAAACTTACACATCCCTAGTTTCTTGGTGATTATGTTGTAATCTGATAGAACATTATTCAGTTGTGTTGGCATATTTCGGTCATTATACTTCCAGTTACAATTATCTCGTTTCTGTCGTTATTTAATTCTGGGTAACAATCTTATCAATTACTAGCAAGCGTGAACGTTGTCCTAGATAGAAGCTGTATACTGTTAGGAAATTTCGATCCAGGATGTTCAGTATGGTGTGAAACTTCTTTATAAAGTTAGATAGAAACTTATGATTATTTTCTATATACTTCATCAGGCGATTTTGGTAATTAAATCTATTCAGTTTGTTTTCTAAGTACATGTGTTGCGCAATACCTTGTAGTATGATAAGACATCTGTATCATTTGAGAGTCACCAATCATTTCAGAAAAAGAACTTATTTTTGATGAGTTTTTAGGCACTAGACTTTAACTAAGTTACTTACGCCTGTTACTCCTCGTGAAGGAACATAGGCCGCTCACCAGCATTCGCCATCTAACCTATCATGGGCAATCCTTTCCAGCTCCTTCCAGTTGCTATTCATCCTTTCCATATCTGCTCCTATTATCCGACGCAATGTGTTCTTTGGCCTTCCTCTTTTCCGCCTTCCTTCAGGATTCCAGACTTTAACTATGAGGAAGGCTTAAAACAATGTACTCATTACGACTACGTATAGATTCGAAACGAATTTCAAATATTTCACATAGATCGCATAACTATTTCAGTTGATAAACCCCACTATTATCGTTTGATCAATTTCATATCTACTTCATTGTTTAAAAAGTATAAAGATCTGTTTTACGTATTGGGCTTAACAAACCTTGGTACCATATAATGTGAATACTTCAATAATGCTATCAGAACACTCGACAGTTCTACTACAAAGTATTTTAAGATCAGTTATCCTTATTGAATATTTATCACTAAAAGATGTTCAAATGAAACCTACGTTTATATGACTATATTGTTGTCTGCATCAGAGATTGACGTTATATTCAACTTCAGAAGTATAAAGGCAATACATACCTGTCTATCCTTATGATAAAATGAGTGCCTAACAGTTAAGATATCCGACTTTCAAACTTTATTTCACAAGTTTGAGCTTCGCCCCACATATTTCAGTCCAAGCACTCGGATAGTGCCGCTAGCCTTCACAGAGATAACTCGAAAAACATGGATTTGTGTCGATTATATACAGTTTATTCATATAATGAATTGAACTAAATTGACCATATTCCTTTTTATTTAACTTTAAATTGGTTCTGTAATGTATATATATGTAATTCATTTAGCCTTTAGGTTTGGCTGATTCTACACGTATATTAGAAATTGAAAAGTTGAGACAGTTAAAACCGATGAATTGGAGAAACGATATGGTACTATTGTAAATCAACCTAATATTACTTTTCCTCTACACGAAGCATTGTGGGTTTGTCAAAATCAATTTATCACCTGGTAAGTTTCGTAGATTATTTTTTCGTTGTCAGTATGGGGTTCTGGAGATTGTTGAATTTCATTAAAATCGTGATTCGATCTAAGTTAGACCACGATTGAGAACCTAGAAGCACTGAAAAGCCGTTCCAACCCAGTATGGGACTCTCATCAATGCGCTTCTACATTATGGTGATGCACGTTTTGGATTGTTAAATTAATGAGTAGAATGGTGATCAGTGAATGTTATGCACGGATACTCTATTAACAATTGATAGCTATTTACAAGATTTAGTCATTAACGTAAGTTTTTCCCAAATAGACTCAGTTCAAAGACGAAACAACTGGTTGCCTGAGTACTTTTTTCTTCCAGTAAAAGTAGCAATATCGGATGCAGAAATAAACATAACTATATTTCATTGAAGTCCGTGAGTTTTGTACATTACTCACTTTTCAATGGAATTAAAGTTCGGCTGTATAGGTCGATCTTTTTAAAATCACTGTCTATATCTCTCTACACAATAATGATTAATGTAGTCTAGTGTTTGCATTAAACATATGATAGACTGGTTATGATCAGTACAAACGGTTCAATAGTGTAGCATGATTGATACATTACTGACCAGTCGGAGTGCTTAATTTAATTCTACAGGGATTATATACCAGTCAAATCATAACATAATAACTGCTCTGTATCTACGAGAATTTTGAACGACAGTGAATTTATTTTAAGTTTTATTTCTCAATCTATACTATATCAGTTAGTCTAATTGTTCATTTTGCCAGCCACTGCTTTTATCATTTAGGTGAAAATATTAGGCTAAAATAACTAGCACGGATATCTGTTAATACTCAGACGTCACACTAATTTATCATTTAAATTTTGTTTAATAGAACACTTGATTTATCTGTAAACTGTTTGTTGGAATTCTATCTTGAGCAGTTATCCTCTGGCGACTTCAACCAGCAATTTAAGTTTTGAAATATCTTTTGTCAGTCTCCACCACATTTTGATCCAATTCTACTTATCTTATTACAATATAGCCACTACATTTAGTGATTTGTTTTCATGATGTGGTTTGTTTGGCGATGCTATGTTGTTGAATGCAATTTTACATGAAGCATTCGACCTAGATTTCCGGCTGTTTGGTGTTCAATAAACTGTATCTGCAATCTTGTAGAAATTGTCAGTCTCCTTTATTCTAAGGAAACGAAGTGATTATCAGTCCTTAAGTCAGTGTTATTGAAATTTTATGGTTACTTACCAGTATGCCGGACGTTTGATCGAGGTTAGGTGTATGGTTTAGATCAACATGTTTAGTCAATTGATTATGATGTGAATCTTTATCGTGTAGGATAACTGAAACATATATCATATGTACCCGACTATCGTCTACTTTGAGACCCACTATTGACTAGCCTAAAAATAGGTTGAAAGAAGATTAACAGTTGTTAAAACAAGATATGGCATTAGCCCATGAACTGATTGACTGGTGGCCGTTTATTCATTATTTACCTTCCCCTAGATTTTAGCTCTCAATACTATTTGTTCGTATGTTCAATCTTTTATCTTGTCATCCTTTGTACTATTATCTGAACTCCTTTTTTGTTGATCTTGATAATTTCATCTTACCGTATTTGTGTATGTTGCGGTAATTAAGTTGATGTTTGTTTGTGCCAGTCTCCTACACTAATTAATGCTGACTGTCATAACGTGATTATATATATAGATGGCAACCTTCTTAATTCAGTTTTATCTTTTTTTAGTTCGAAGACATTTGGTATCAAACACATCTTTTTGTTAACTGACGATCCTGATCCAGTAAATAAAAATGCCAATTTGAAAGTCAGTGTTATACGCCTTTTGTAATTTTTTGCTTTATTCAGTCATGGTTATTAAATTTTCAACACCGTTATTTGCCAAATCAATATTTATGTTATAAAAGAAATTGGTTTGTAATAAGCGGAGTTTACATTACGCATGCTTTGTTCATATCTTTTGAATATCTTAATATCGTTTTTGGCGATTATTATTTGGTATAAGATATAAAACGTAACCTAGTCAATAACACCTACATTGACGGGAAATGTTTTCTGGTGTAGGAGTGGGTTGAAAGAAAGATAGGAGCGGCTAAATCATGAAGTGGAACGTGTTTATGAAGTCACTAATAATCTAACTGAGCCATGTTGATAGCTGTAAACCACCTGTTTGGGGTCAGGGAGGTTATCGTAACCAGTTGTTTAAGACTTTGTGTGACATGGCTCAGAATCATTCGCAATGGTCTAGATGTATTCACTCCTTGTCCTTCTTCAGAATATAAGTCCTGAAATCTACTTATACCTTCTTTTTCTATATCTAAACTTTTTTACTACTACTGACACTGTAATGACTCTGTGATTTGTCTTGAAGTAATTTTATGTTGTTGTCCTTATTTGGTATGGGAGCTCGAACCGGTGCACATATGTGTCGCGTTCTATGTCACTTATAGCTAAATAATTGATTGAGTGGCTTAAGATTTGTTGATGAGCTGAAAGTAAAAACCATCTTTTTCCATGAACTTCTTGTTTAAAAGAAATTGTAAAGTATTTCGTGATATATGCTGAACTTCACTTAATCGCTTTATTCCGTTACTGATCAATCGATCTTGTTCCACCGATCAGTTGTGATCAAAATTAAAGTAATATTTTAAGTTTATTGCAAAGTTCTGCCAACATGTTGACTAGCTTCTTTAAAACTGGTTATTTGTAAGTCTCAGAGTTACTAACCTAATTATTGGTTTCATCTTATTCTACGTTGTTGAATAGATAGCCAACTGTATAACTCCAATCAAAATTGTAGATTGATTCCCCAAAATGTTCTGAATCTGAGTGTATTCAACTGTGTGTAGTTATTATTTTTCTATTTGTTAATACTTAGAAAAGGCTTGTAAATATCAGTTTAGTACAAGTTTCAGCTGTGCGAACTAGTTCCACATACTTCAAACCCATAAATCATTCAGTGTATTATAATTACAGGGATATTGTTAAGTGTTAAATTTTTTTCGGAGGTCGGTATACAACCTTAAACGCTGAGTGAGGTGGGTTGATAGAGATTTTGTGTGATTTTAAATCACCTAACTTCAGTTCAAAAGTACTAGAAAACAGGGGATGCTGGTTAGTAGCTTTGTCCTGGTAGTGCAGGCAGACAGGATTAAACGAATGATATTCTGGTATTTTTAAGATTACAGTAGTGTTAAGTCATTGAATAGAAACCCCTCAGTCTATATTTTCAAGCTAACCTAATTTCTAGTGTATCACAGTCGTCATTTGATATCATTGATGAGTTACGCCTTTCAACTCTCGAAATAATAATGTTTCGTCATAGCTAACAATTTCGATCACAAACCATATTAAAGTTTGTCACGAGTGAGGATATATATCTATTATTTAATTACGGAGGTTTTTGCATTTCAAACGTAGTTTTCATTTTATCACACCGCCACGAAAGAGCTGTCCGATACTTCTCTGGTTTTCAATGATATGACAGCCGAAATTCATTCGAGTTGAAAAGGATCTTAAGATTTATTTTCATACTACAAAAGATGTGGACACTAAACTTATTTTTATGAATAAATCCAACTAACCTGGAATCGATACTTGTGTTTGTTTCAGCAAGTAGCTCTATCCATTTTCGAACTTTTAACCTGCATTGATGAGATTAATAGAAACAATTCTTACACCAATCAGTGTTATTCGTAGAATAAATATATAATTAAATGCTTTTTCATTTTAAGCAGAAAATTTCCAACTGTTTTTAGATCAACTTTATGTTCTTTAAGGAGACTAAGCGTTCACCTTTTCTTAGGAAAATTATTGAGTCTATTTATAATTGAAGGGCTTCTATGACGTTCGATCCGTTTTGTAGATTGTATTTGTCACATGCTGATTTCAGTTCGAGTATCATTTCCAATCACTAACCACCCGTTCGACTAAACTATGATAGTCAGCCCATTATCGACTTATTTCACGATGTCCCTGAAGTTTGAATGGAGTTCAGATGTGTCTAGGATGAAACCATTGTCATCATTGAAAAATTGTACGATGTTCGCTTTTTACTGGAAATGTTTCACAATAGACACCGATCCAACGATTCTAATTGTTAAAAGTTTATCGCAAAACCTGAACGTCTTATGATTCATTTCCTGGTTGGGTCGTCTGCACAACTTTGAAGACTTAACAGTTGTCCAATGAATTCTGTTTATCCATAGCACCGTAATTAAGATTAATCTGTAACTAACATAGTATATGAATTCATTTTTGCTTGAATTAAGCCATTTTACCCGTTGGGTCCTCATTAATTTCATTTTTTTCTTCATTATTGTTCATTAATTATAGCGTAGAGCAATTGCTAAGATGGCCGATATGAAACAATATGGAATTGAACTTGAAGTTATTCCGATTAAACAACAAAATACAAAATTTGATTATGAATTATTTTATGATGTAAGTACAAAAGATAAATTGTCTTCTTTGTACATTTCTTTGTGTCTACTATATTCCTTATTATTTTTATAATCATGATAATTTCTTGTATAAATGGATCATTTGATCGTCAATATGTACTACACAATGGTTAATGAATGTCGCTTAGTTTGATGTACTATAACATACAGTTCATTATACTATATGGATTAATTAATTAATACAAGTCAATAATCATCTATAAAGTATTGTAGTTGTACTTTAATTTATATAGTTGTTTTGTAGTTTACGTTCCATGTTCAGTTAGATGACTATTGAAAAAAATGAACGGACTGGATAGCTATTCACTCTTAGTATGAAACTCAGCAATGCACATCCATGATTTCTTTAGCTAGTCAAGTGCTCATTAGTGACCATCTTCAAGTTGAAAGTCCTGGAGTTCTAGTGAGAGTTCTTGATCAATGGAGTTCAAGCATGTTGGGTACAAGGCAGTTACGCACCGCAGGCAATGGAACATGATCGTTCAATATCAATAAATTGATTAAAGCCAACCGTGTATACCATTGGCTGTTGGCTCAGTAGTCTAGACGTAGAGGATTTACACTGCTGGGAAGTCCTACACTAAGACGTAACAGCTGTTCATTGCTTCCAAGTTTTCAATGGTTGTTTAGCGAAGATCAGTTCATGATTCAAACTGTGAAAATTTGATGTGAAAATCGATAGAATTAAAGGATTCCATTATATTTTAATATTTACTCTCCATATTTACTGAATGAAGTATGTTTTCTTTATTGGTTTTACATTCTTAATTTTTATGTCCCAGTGAATTCTACATGTACTTTTATTAAATTAGTTGACCAGATCTTCAAAATCTCGGCTGATTGGTTTTTATTCTTCCACTTGATGTCTTTGTATGGCGGTTAATTACTTACATTTGTTACTACTTATGAGGTATAGGCCACCTACTTGGGATCTTCATCCAACTAGGTTCTGGGCTTTCTTTGTATAGAAGTATAGTACGATATAATATATACAGTTGTATTTCCTAAGAGTTGAGCCGAAACGTTTCATGTGTTTGTTTTTTCGTAAGGGTCATCGTTCAGGATTATTTCAAAAAATTAACTGACTGTCTCAATCAAGGTTTGAATCACGAATTTATATCCAAATGAATCTATCTCGATTCATCAATTCAAACCTGGTCTCTACATACGACATTGTCATGTTTAACCCTTAATTCTACCATAATTTTAGCATCCCTTCTGATTTTGCGAATCCCCCAGCTTCTACATTATCAAAATTGACAGTTGTCCTTTTACATTTCTTTTATAAATTATTATTTCTTATTACGTAACCCGAAAAACTTGGATAATTTTTATTGTACGCTAAACCATCCTTTCATTCATTGTTTTATTTCACTCACTCAATTCTCTAAACTTATATCAACAACCTCCTCTATGTTTTTTTTTTGAATTCCATTTCCAAATGATCTCAAACCTGTTCATCCATAGATGTGATTATATTTATTATTGATAAACTTTTTCATTCTGATCCTTTCCATCATCAATGCCAATTGTTTCACATTATGTCTTACCTCAATGTTACACCTTAATTCATATATGAATATAAGGAGCTGATGGCGAAGCATGAAATATATGATGAATTCATGTCATTCTATCTCAATTTTTATTTTGGCTTTATTCAAATTAACAGTGGAATCAATCACATGAAAGGTTTTCATTACTCTATTTCATAATGTCTTATTTTTTGTTTTTTACTTATTATCAGAAGGGGTTTTTGTGGATATTATAGTAATTTTTAATAGTTGAGATCATGAGTCAATTGGAGCTAGACCACCATGGAAAACCTGGAAGCACTGGACGATCGTTTCGTCCTATTGTAAGACTCCTCAGAAGTTTGTATCCATGATCCTGCCTGGCGAGATTTGAACCCAGAACCTATCAGTCTCGCGCACGAATGCTTAACCACTAGACCACTGAGCTTCAAATGACTCATGATCTCAACTATTTTACTTATTATATTTGATACTTGAAAAAAAACAGTTGATTAACTTTGTTTAATGAGTCAACCAACATTCATTTATTTGATTATAGACAATAAGATGTATGAGATTAACTGTAAATACGATCATACAACTTATTAAGCAAATGATAACATTGTCGATAAAATAATTTTTCATCGTTAAAACTTCTTCATTTTAATGAATGATGTAATGGATTTCTTTCGCTATTTTATAATTTAGTTGTCAGGTGATATATTTAGAAAATATCTTAGACTATGAGTTTTTCAACTTTCTAGGTATATTAAAAAAAAGAGAAAGAAATCTCCACATTTACCGAGTAATTATACCATGTATAATGATATATGTGGTAAAAGTATAGTATACTGACGGCCTTGAGTCGACCAATCAGAATTAAGATAACTGTGCGCTGAATTTAAGGTGGAGTGATAGATAAGTTGTATGTTATTGTAAACTAGATGAAAATTGACAATAATTGATTCTTAAAATTCGCGGAATCAATAGAAATATCTATTACTCAAGCAAAATATAAATTTAAGTTGGTTCTTTACATTAAATGACATAACATACCTGCTCCTAAGGGAAATAGTGTGTAAAAGTGGTTAATGTGATTAAGTTGAGTAGTCAGGAGTGTTTAATGGAGCTAGATCGTAATGAAAACCTCAACCCTAATTTGTAAGCCCAACTCGAAACTGCAGCCTTACTCTTAATATCTTATCTTAACCTTTTAAATTATGACAGATATCATGTGCTGATAATAACTCCATGGGGTGTTGATCCTAACTCAGAGTACTATCTTGACTTCTAATATGTAAACCTGAGTTTTTTCTCTTACTATCAGGAACAATTTGGCATATGAAGGTTAATTACTCAGATCAAAGCTGTTATTTTACCAGTTTTCATTGTTAGTTGTTGTATAACTGTGCAGAGTTTCCTCATTGACTGGTAAGTTTCTCGAGGTCGTTAGTGTAGTATACTATGACCAAACATATTTATTTAAGCAATAAAGATCTCACCTCGTTATTCATTTACTAATCCAAGAATAAGTAGAAAGCCATGTATTTTAAGTTGGAGTGCAGTTTATTGTATCAACATCTAGTTATGTATGATTTAGCATTCCATAAATATAATTTACACTCTAATGCAAATATATAGGTTTTGTGGAGATGCATTTTATATATGAGTAGTATTCATCACAAATTTGCTTTAGTTAATAGGGAATCACTGATAACCTTGTACTATATCAAATCTAATCTGTTCTAACAAATTAAACAAATCTCCACATAAAATTATCACAGTAATTCATATTAATAGCAAGCCTTAAGAAGCTTTTAGTCGATAATATATTCGTCTAACGTTCATTCAATCATTAGGCTATAGACTCAGAATTGGTTCAATTTTTTTAAAATTTTGATTGAATAAATAGTCTCTGTTATCAACGTCCAAGAAATGATTTTTAATCCTTGTTAAAGAATTTCTTTAAAGCTTTGTTTAGTGTTCCGATAATAATCTCATATTATAAAGTGTTATATGCACATATAGATTTATAATTATCACATTTAATTACGTGGTTTTCCAATTGTCATTATTTCAAAAATCAGCCAATACTGCTTCCGTAATTATCATCGTTAGCATCAAGTTTCCAATGAAATCTAACTTCTTTGCAAATTTTGGACCAATTTGACTGATGAACATTCTAAAGTAAAAAAATCCAGATCTATAAGGTTTCTTTCTAATTCTCTTCAAACATCTATTCTTAAACGTACTTTGCACAAATTGTCAATTCAGTAAGGCTAGTAGCCACATTTTAACTTAATCAATAGAATTCAATTGGCCCTAAGAAATGATTCGAGATACATGACACTGGTTAGGAATCAGTCACTTGTAAATGTATCTTGGTTCTACAGGAGGTTAGTCTTTGCCCAGACGCATCATTTGTAACTTATCTGACTGTGAAGCTGGATGACAGGGGACCAACTTCTTAAAAGAACACCTGTTATTACAAGTATACCTTGCTAATGAGTGTCAAAAAGCACGAAACCGAAGTTCAGGGTTTCCTACTGTCCACCCTCAACCACCACCATATATACATTTCTATTCAACATATTCTATTCATAAAGTTGTTGATTCTCTTATGTTTAATTTTTAATGTTTTACTTCATCAGATTGATCATTTGATATTCAGTTTTACATTTAATTGTTTAATCCTTGTTTTATTTATTCCCCAACATAACTGTGATTGATTTCATACTCTTTCTCTTAATAAATAGATTTAATAATAAATTCCAACTTCGTACTTAAATATATTCGGATATAGTTGATGAATTGATTAAGTTTTTCCATATATTCTTTTTTATTAGGAGTTACTAGAAGATGAATTAATATATCCTGATCTAGACAAATCTTCTTATCATCCTGATCCAACTGAACGTCTTGATGAATTATTAAGCCGGTAATTTGATATTTCGATACTTTCAATGACTGTATTATTGATTTGTCTAAACGTTCTTTTAACAAATGTATTCGAAGAGGTAATAGAAATATTTGTTTATAATATTTCAGTTTGATACTGATTGGAATTATAAAATCTGTGTAGATTTATTCACGGATTATCATTGCTTGTTTTTTTTTGTTAGCGAAGGAATGATCACCATTGGATCTGACTATACAAGATTTCAATAATTTTCGATATAGAAACAGTTATTCGAGGTGTCTTTAGTTATTTTTCAACTATTATCAGTTTGTGATGTATTCAGCCTCTAGAACTGTTATATTTGAGCGAAGATTAAATCACGAGTAACTTCTGAGGCATATAATTATTCAATAATTAGATTAAGTTTATTTATATCCCTCTTATTATAAGCTTTATTTTGACCTATAATTTATTATTGTACGATTTACTGGGCTTAAGCTATGTTCAGTTTATTGACCACTGCCTCCCACTTTCACAGTCACTTTTTGGCTTTATTGTGTACAAATGCTATTTCCTATTTTATGGTGCGTTGCGATCTCTTTGGTTGATATATAAACCCAGTATGTCTGAAATAATGATTCGATTCGATTCAATTCGATCCACATAGTGGAAGCTGGTATTGGTGTTCTGGACTCAAGTGGACGGGCTAAGCGGACATAGGACCAATGAAGACGCAAGGCTGCCCATACCGGTCGAACGTCATTGGTTTGGCACAGCGCTAAGATTGCATAAGTCGTATTTTGATTGGTGGATAAATCATGTGATAAAAAGCCGGACATCAAGTCACAACAAGAACCACTAACATAAATAATGCCAGCAGTAATCAATATAAGTACTTTATTATAGGTTAGATTTAAAAAGGTTTCGTAAATCTGAACCTGTAAAAAAAGTGTAATCTAGCAGTGTAGTGAAAAAAGACTTGATGGGAAAAGCCAATTTATCATTTCATGCAAAATTGCACAGTGCTTTTATAGAATATGAAAATCATACATTAAATACATCATCTACATGTCTTCCTTGAGATGTCCTTTACATACTCCATCATTTTTCTAGTTCTGTTGTTATTCCGATTGCTTTCTGTCTCCTTCCACTTCTCTTTATTTCAACCTTCTTTTGGTAATCATCCCACTTTCAATTTTGCTACATACTACTTAAGTCTATCCGCATAAGTAGTGTACACCACAGTAGTAAATACATTATTGACGATGGAGTGAAATAATAGTTCACTAATTATAAACACCCCACTCTTTTATTAACGATTTGGTTCAAAAATACTACTTTACTAATTAGTATTTGAACCGTAAATTGCTATCACTTCAGAATTATAGCTTAAGATTGAAGTACACAAGTATTCACTTAATTACTGAAAAGTGGTATTATATCCTTATAATTTATACAACGTTTTGACGAAGATCAGTTTCTGTTCTTCAGACTCATGAGTACTAGTAACCATTGATTATCGGATTGATAGCAAATGGTGGACAGGACAGCATGCTTACAAAAAATTTGAACATTCATTTTCATTGAATGAAGTAATGACTAGAAGATTTTTAATCGAGATCAATGTCTGTTTAGTACTTTTAAATATCTAGTGATTGTTCAGTTGGTGATGTCTATTTTAACCTCGAAATAACTATTAGCAATATCAAGTCGATCCGGTTAGGATACATATATATAGCAATAGAGACTGATTAATTGCAGTCCTTAACATTAATTACGGGTGATATGATGGAAAGTCAAAATTCGATTGATTTACGCATTATGAGTTTTGTTCAAGATTACTTCCGTTTTGATTCGATGTAATGATTACTCAATGTGGTATTTGTTCTTCTTTTCTCGTATGATATTTTATTCTGTATTATATGCGATATTCTTGTATTCGATTGACATGAACTATGTTCAGTATGTGATTTGTTATAACTCGAAGTATTTTTCATATATGTGATTACATTCTAATTATTAATCAAAAATGGGTGTACAATCAATATATAAACGAGTTTAATTTTGACTATGATCGTCGTCGTCTCCGTGTTTTGCGGTCAATAATTCTTCACTTATACCAGTCTTTGTGTTTTTACTTTCGCATCATGGGAATTGCAGAGGTCCCTCGTTTGGAGTATAAGTGATAAGAGTTTCCGACATAACAATCAGCGATGACCATATAAAACAAATAGCATTCAACTGACGAGGGATGGGATTTTAGAAAAAATTGACAAGAAATATCAGTGGCGACGGGAATGGGATAAGAAAAAGTCAAGACAGTTAGCATTCAAACAACAAAACATAACAATTGGCGACGGGGATTTTGGAAAAAATCGACAAGACATGTCAACGGGAAAATACAAGCCCTTATTAATATCTTCATAGCTGTCGGGCTATTTTCTGACTATATGGATTTAGTAACTCAGTGGATAACGCGTTGTTACGCATTCTAATTGAAATGTACTGGGTCCGAGCATCAATATGAACATCAATACTAAGATTCAGGTACATCCATCTGACTAGTTGTAAATAGGAAGAAATGCTCATCTTGGACTCCACTTCAAACCACATACCAAGTATCCTAAGATTTTGGTTGGTTATTTATTTAGTTTCCGGATATTAGTTTAGTTTGCTGGAAGACTTCATCATTTATTTCCGTCATTTAGAAAACCATTAAAGCCAGAGTATTGGATAGTTGTTCCATTCAAGTATTTGATACTTGTTATTGATAAAAAGTCAAAACCCTGAAAAAAAATCGTTTTTTTAAACTTTCGATTCTAGGTATGAATTGGAATCAGGTGGTCAGTTCATAATGTAGCACGATATTATAGTTAGTTTCATCATTGATATCTATCTACATTTCTAAATAATTAAACTTCACTATTCATGAATTTCCATATGGAAACCAATTGTTTCTGAACAAACAATCAACAAGGTCTACCTATTTACGTATTAAATGACTATAGACTGGTTAAATTTCGGAATTTTTCTCGATTTATTTACATTTTAGTAATTTTGTTTTATTTGTAAAATATATAAATGCACATAACAATCTAGAACATTCCATGAAACCTTTTTTTATATCTATGAAATGATCCCCTTTTGAATGAGTTATTCTAAAAGTATTCTAATCATTTCATTAATTTTTCTTCCCATTTTGTCTATTCTAGTATTAACTCACATGAATTACGTCGATCACGTTTAGCTCGTTTGCCTTTTCATCTTGGATCATCGAAAAATCTCACTTTAGGTATTTCAGTATATTGTTTAGTTTATCCAACACGTATCCCCTCTCCAATATGGCTCTCATCTTCAGATAATAAAATTGTACGTGTTCATAGAGATTATTATAAAATTATAGATCCATATGGATCTTTTGATCCAGTTAAAGATTTATTACCACCCATGATTTAGTACGTGGCATAAAACTTGATGGTCGTTATATATGCTTTGATAAAGATGAATTAACTGAAGCTGTGCGTAATATTGCTCCTGTCGGTAAGTATTGTTTCATACAGTTTATTATTATTACTATTTAATTTGTATGCAATTGTCGTTATAACCTACATTAGTGTATAGACACAGTACTGTAGTGTGTGCTACTGATGTCGACAGATATAAGTAGTATGTGTCATCAATCGAAGGGAAATGCCTGGAGACAGAAGGTTAAGAAGATGGAAGAAAAGAGAACGAGAACAGAGAATGACTTTTGTGGAAATGAAGGAACAATGAAGTCTGAGACAATTGATTGACATTTTGCAAATTGAGTATTTACTGTGTGATTCTCAGATTTTACTAAAATGTTCTGTGATTTTGTGTTGAAATACATTCGATTGTCTCCACTTGTATTCTCGTTCACTACAATATTCATCTGATTGTTTATACTCTTGTAAATCTGATAATTTATTTTGGAGATATTAATGTTTTCGAATGTATTTTTTAATGTTTTTTTCAATTCGTAGATTGTATTCGTCGTGAATTGTTATTAATTTAGGTAATATTCAAAACCTTGAAGCACTAAAGGTTCTAAGTTTGGTTTCCGCTTTCAGGGTCGTGGATGTGCACTGCTAAGCCACGTACTGAAACGAAACAGCCGTTCAGTGCTTCCAGGTTTTCAATAGTGGTTTAAGTTAGATCGGTTCATTATTTCAATGAAACTCAACTGTCTTCGCAACCCTATACTGATAAACTATGGTAGTTAGCTCGTAGTAGTAACTTACTCTATGATATTTTTCATGTTGTCGTGTGCATCTGTGACTGGTACAGTCCAAGTATATTGGGCATGAAATAGTTGTCACCAATGGCATTAGATAACCGTCACGTTATTTCGTAAATTTATTGAAGTTGAAAATGTGTACGATTAAGCACCTACTCAGTAGTTCTACTGGTTGCGTTTTCGTCGAAAGATCTGACAGTCCTGGTTCGATTTCTAATTGGATTGTGTGCGTACATTGTTGAGAAACCTCATAGTCCGACGAAATAGCTGTCCAATGCTCTTTGGATTCCAGTGATACGTCCAATGAGATCAGTGTGTCATGAATTTAACTTACAAGTATAGTTTTTATTAGTTTCAGTCTTCTTTTGATACACTTCATATTTTCCAGATATTAAGAACAGACACTGACTCATGTTTGTTGTATTTGTTTACTATTAATATGACCAATGAAAATTTTATTATCAATCTTTCTTTCTCAATTACATTAATTATTTTCAGTCATTGAAACTATTCGATTGTCATTGTCCAATGCTTTTAGTTATATTCAGCCACACCACATACATATCAGTGGTCGATTTTTTTCCTATTTGATTGCGGTTTATTGAATTTACTTAATTTTCTATGCCAGAATTGTAAAAATAAGAATAATAACTGTCTAATCGTTAAAATCATAAGTTTATGCAGATTGTTCATTTTGAAGACAGTTTACATCATTAACAGATTTTAACTTTGGACAACTGTTGTAAATCAAAGACTACGTGATGTTAGTAATTGTGAGGGACTCATCGAAATTGCACACTTGCAGCCTAAACACTTGTCGGACTTAGAACTTTCAGATATCAAGGGCAGACTTAAGTATTGGGTGTAAATTATTTTCAGCCTAGATAATTTACACAAGCTTCCAATACTAATAGTGGTGATAATATGTTTGTGTTAGTGATTAACTACGGGAATAATTCCCTAATTTATAGTATGAATTTAAGGTCTTTTGAGTTCACATATATCACCAGTGTTATTGAATGATCGTTGTGTGATATCATAAATTGGCTGAAATTGGGAATATAAACTGTTGATTCCCATTTCAGTCGTCTAAATCGTAATGAGCTTGTCGCGAATATTAGAAATCCCTATTTCGATATCTTTGTGGACCTTATGTATGTGTGCACCAGTCAGTCAGCTACAACGTAGGACCAGGCACATATGTGCATCGGTCCAGGTTGCCATACCTCATTAGCACAGCAAGATGAACACCGGATTCATAGGAGTGGTTAGGTCAAAGGTGGTAATATATAGGAGAAAGATTGCAATAAGGATATAGTATAGGAAGAAAGAATTAGTTCGTAGAAAGAAAGATATGAAGTGATTTTAATCTCTTAGTTTAAGGGAAGACAGGGAGTGTATACACCGACGCCATTGTGATCGATTCTGAGCCATGTCACCAAGAGTCTCCAACCATTGGTTACGAAAGTCACGCGGACCCCAACCAAGTAGTCTGCATCTACCAACATGGCTCAGACTAGAAGTTAGTGACTTCAAGCACTGATGCCACGTTTTGGTTTGGCCGCCCCTAACTTTCTTCCAACCATCTCCTACACCGGTTAGCATTGCACGTCGTGGTAATCGGTGTTCAGGCATACGTAACACGTGGCCCAACCATCTCAGTCGATGAAGATTCATAACCTCATCAACTGATTTACCATCATTCCCTAATACCCTGCGTCTAACCTCACTATTACTTACCCGGTGATCCCAGCAGATGCCAGCAATATTTCTAAGGCATCTGTGGTCAAATACTAGTAGCTTACGGGTGTCTTCTACTCTTAAGGCCATGTTTCGCTGCCGTAAATTAAAACAGAACGGACTGCCGCGCAGTATACTCGTCCTTTTATTGATAGACGGATATCTCGCCTTCGCCAAAGGTGACGTAAGTTGGCAAAAGCCAAACGAGCTTTTCGAATCCGTGCTGAGATTTCGTCAGACACCAACCCATTAGGGCTGATCAGACTTCCAAGATAAGTGAAGTTGTCAACGCGTTCGACTACTTCACTCCCTATCCTTAGTTCAGGTGTTGACGCAGACCAGTCCTGAAGCAACAACTTGCATTTAGAGGGAGAGAAGCGCATCCCAAACATTCTGGCATTGTTGCTTAGTGCTACCAGAAGACTCTGCATTTTGTCAGCGTCTTCACCAAACAGGACTATGTCATCTGCGTATTCTAAGTCGATAAGTGGACCTCCTGGAAGGAGATCAATACCCGAGAATTCAGTCGACGAGAGTGTTATTTCCATCAATAGGTCTATGATGAAGTTAAACAAAAATGGAGAAAGTGGGCAGCCTTGACGGACACCACTTGAGGTTGCAAAAGTAGATGACAGTTCGCCATAAGCCCTGACTCGACTAGTAGTGTTCGAGTAAAGAGCCTTCACAAGGTTTATGTACTTCTGAGGTACGCCTTTCAATGACAGACACTGCCACAGAGTCTCGCGGTCTACAGAGTCAAATGCTGCTTTTAAGTCAAGAAAGACCACCATCGTCGGACGCCGATAGGTATGCCTGTGTTCTAGAACCTGACGAATGGTGAATATGTGGTCGATGCAGCCACGACCAGGTCTAAAGCCAGCTTGGTTCTCTCGTGTTTGTAGTTCACGAGTCTTAGTTAGGCGTTGATAATTATCGAGGCCAGTATTTTAGATATATATTTGTTAAACTAATCCCTCTGTGGTTGTCACAGGATGATTTTGACCCTTTCTTATATATTGGGACGATAAGTGATTGCGACCAGTCAGATGGGATAACGTCTAATTCCCAGATCTTAGCTAAAATATTAGTCAACCTAATCGCTAAAATTGGACCACCATCCTTAAAGACCTCTGGAGCCAATCCATCTGGACCAGCTGCCCTTCCTCGTTTCAGATTAACTATAGCCTTTCAACTTCAGCAAGAGTTGGGGGACCTACTTCAATGTTCCATTCACTGTCTGGGAATGGAGGGTAGTTGTAGAGTAGCTGAAGGCCAGCTGAACTGTTCTCTAAAATGTTCCGCCCATCGTTCTAAACGTCTGGACTGGGAGCAGATGAGAGTATCGTCTTTTTCCGAAATAATCTCACTTACACTTGACTTATTAATTCCAGTTTCTTTTATTAGTCTGTAAAGCTGTCTTGTGTTCCCTATAGTCGCCGCCTTTTCCATCTCTTTTGCTTTCGTTGCCCACCACTGCTCACGGTCGTTCCTTAGACTTTTTCTTAACCTAGATCTGATTTGTTGTCGCTCTTCATCATGTTCAGAACCTGATGGGACGAGTTTGCGAGAATCCATCAGTGTGACAGACCTTGAAGAAATCCACTGGTTCCTTGTAACTCTGTGGTTTAAGTCACTAATAGATGTCACTGCTGTTTCCACAGCTGCTTGTATCCTTCCAAGCAACATCTGGGTCAGCCTCGTCTTCACAACTACCTAAGTGTGACCTCAGTTGTTCCTGGAACCTACTTTTGGTTTTCTCGTTACTCAACTCAGTTCTAATGGGTCTTTTTAATGTGGCTTTTTTGCGTCCAGTGAGGCGCAAGCAGATGCGTGCCCGTATTAGGGCATGGTCGGAGTCCAAGCAGGTACTCCAGAATGAGCGACAATCTTCTACCGACCCTCTCCAACGATGACTGATGGCAATATGGTCTATTTGAGTCCATCGTTGGTTTGGTGTAGGGGGTCGCCATGTTAGACGATGTCTCTCCTTATGCTTAAAATTTGTGTTTGCTAAAAATAAACGATTGTCTGAGCACATTGCAGCAGACGATCACCATTATCTGTTCGCTGTGTCGGAATACTAAAATATCCACCTAAATGCCTTTCTGTTTGGTTTAAACTACCTATCTGAGCATTAAAGTCACCCCCTACGAGTACTATGTCTGAGCGTTTAGCTTTCTGAAGAAGTTCGGAAGCTTTCTGTAAAATTCATCTTTCACTTCATCTGAGCTGCAGTCAGTGGGAGCGTAGGCAGAAACGACAAAAAGGCAACGACGTGTGTCCCTATCCTTCCGAGTTCTTACGGAGCCGTTCAGCCGAACAGCACATAGACGACTGTTGACGGGGATCCACTCTAGCAGTGCTTGTTCGGCCCTCATGCTTAGTGCTATGCCTACACCTGCCAGTCCACGAGAACTTGCCATCGGGTCACCAGATACACGAAGGGTGTATCTCGTTGGCTCTCCGTTTGCCGAGGTGAGGTCAAGTGAATGACCACACTGGAATCCTGTATGCGTGTTTCGGAGACACAGCATACATCAATGGAAAGAGACTCTAGGGTTTTAGCCAAGGAAGCCTGCTGACCGATTTGACATAGGGTGCGTACGTTGAAGGCTCCAATGTGTAGTTTGGAGCGAGGTTTCAGTAGACCTGGGACAGTGTTTTGAGCACTAGAATCGTTGGCTATGGTGACACTTGAGGAGGAAGCCGAGAGAGGAAATATAGAGTTGAAAGTCGATGTAGGAGGAATAATAGGAATTGAAGAGGAGGTTGATTATGAATACAGTGGTCTTGAGTGCTGTTAGAGTATGAGGGCGGTTATCACTTCCCGGTTGCCCACACCGTGGAAGGGTTGTTCTGGAGGTACCTGAAAAGGAAATTGGATTAGAGGTGGTCTTAGTGACCTGAGAGCGTGACCGCAGTGCCCAAGGGACAACTGCTTGAGGTCGGTCACACACGACCTTTTTGTGAATAATTTTTGTGTTAGCTCCGTACTTTTTGGGACCTTACCGCCGGAGACGGATATCCGTGGGATAAGGCGAGGTGTGCATTTTTAGGGTCGACCTTTTCTAACCCCACCCCTCCTTGTGGGAAGGCAGCATCGCTGTCATGCTGGTTGTCTGAAGGAAACACCTTACTGCTGTCACACCTCTGTACAGTCAGCAGTACGACTTCGCCTTCGGACCTTGGGTTTGTTGCTTTTAGTCTTACCGCTCTTCAACCGACCTGTCTGACATGGTAGGACCTTGAGGAACCGTTGTTCCAGCCAGTATAGCTCGGTTGCTTCATCACGATAGGCAAGCTCGACCACCACGTCAAGGTAGCAACAACGGTTTTACAATAGTTTATCTCATCTAGATTATTTTGTATTGTACATTAGCTTTAAGATCATCTGGTTAGTTCCGGTCATCTAATTTAACATATTGAAAGATCAAATTATTGTATTAGTTGATTAATGATCATTCATTTCATGTTATTTCGTTTGACCTTGATGTTAACCTCACGACAATTACATTTAGGATGTTGTTTTGGGTCACTAATACTTTTGCTTTACACGAAATCATTGTAATAATTTGAAAATTCTTTTTAAATCCCACTTCCATTTATTAGTTAGTAATGCAATCATACTGTTAGGTTTACTTCTCACTCCAAGCACTTAATTAAACCCGTGGGGTGTATGCTTATACATGATTCTGGTTTACGAATCAAAGAATAACATTGGGGATAATCCGTGTCCATTTCAGTGTTTAGATTGTGATTCATAGTTTATTAAAAGGAGTTAAGTAGAGCGGTGTAGTGTGATGGTCGATGTCCGAAATCGAGTACTGATACATGATGTGCTACGCGTTTAACCAATGAAATGCACTTGTCCTTCAAGTCACTACTGATTGCCATCGACTGACCTTCTCATTAGGCTAATTCTCATTGGCTTGACACATCATCTTTCCCTCCTGAAAAATAAGTCTTGCTCCTTGGATTCAACTGAAAGCGTTGAAGAAAATGTCGTTTTCTTGATCTTCTTGGGGTCTGGCCATCACTTCTTCTGCGCTGATCTTGTCGTCCCAAGCTGACTGTATCAACTAAGTACTCTAGTTGCAAGTTCGAGTTAGGGTGTTCTTTATCCAGATTTAGTCTGTTGAGGATGTGATTTGCCATATCACGATGAGTCGGTGGTGTTTAAGGTTTTTGACTTCAATCACTAAGTTGCCAGTTCGAATCTCTTTCATCCTATTTTAGTTTAGCCTAGCGAACAGCTTCATTAGCTTTCACATTCAGAGTGCGGCTCACACCCATGTACACAAATTCGTGCCGTATAAATGAGTTATTAATAATGTAAAAAGGATTATACATGTAAATTTTTTTTAATATGATAATTTCATTGTAAAAGGTACAATGAACTTCGTATTTCATGTCATAGAATTTAATAAAGTTTCAGTTTTTGTACAAAACTAGTCGTTAGATATCGAATGTTTCTTTCATGACTCCTCACTTGTTATCTTTTGAATTTTCTAATTTACTAAGTCAATCTCTTTTTTCAAATCACTTACCGGAATGCTTTCTTAAATCTCCTCTTTTTCAACTGACATTTTCATTATAAGCAAAGATAGATAGTGGCTAGCAGTGGAATCCAGGACGCGCGTTTCGTCCTGTTTGGGGCTCGTCAGCTGGATGTACCTGCATCTCAGAGTTGATGTTCACTCTGGGACTCGAACTCAGTACCGTTCGCTTCAAACGCCATCGCGTTATCCACTTAGATACTGAGTCCTGATGGCAACTTGCTTGTGCAGTGGGGTGAAGTTTAATTTCGATTTCAGTCCTAAAACATCAATGGGAAGATTCAAGTAAAACAATACCAAGTGAATTGACATTTTCATTGTTCTGATAGGAATGCTCCATTAACATGAATTACTCTTCTTCGGAACGTCTATATTTCATATTTAAGAGCGGGCATATATGACAAAACAAAACAACAACAACATTTTGTTTACATTCAATTGTCAGTTTATTCTTATTATTCACAAATAAAGGGTAATATTCAATTTTGGAATGGAATAGAAATGGAATATGATTTAAACAACTTCTATTTTAATCCAATTAAATTCTATCATATATATAGATTGTAACTGATAACAACTAAACTATGTTTTTGATAATCATTATTGAACCTTAAAAATAGTCTTTGACAAGGATAAAGTAAAATGTTCAAAGTGTTTATAAAGTATTATTATTATTATTGTTTAACTGACAGATATGATTAAGTTTCAATGTTCTAATTTATGTAACCGGAAAACGCTCATTGAGACGTAAAACAAGAAAATATGTGTGTATGTGAGATATAGAGGGGTTCAGGGAAAAGAGTTGTTTTGTTTTTAAAAAAATTTATTCTCGACTGTTTCATTCAGTTTATGCCACGTTTATTAATGACTTCTAGGACATGGTAAAAAGAATTCAAAGATACACAGATGTACAAATGTCTATTACTCTTAATCGTAGATTAGAAATGGAATTGTCAAGATGTTCGGAAATTAATCAGGAATAACTGAGATTCATTTATTTATATAAACACATAAATATTGGTATCGAGGGACATTAAAATATATATGCACCACATAGACTATTGAATCTGTCTATGGGCTAGAATGCTGCCCAGGTGCCCAAACCAAAGTAGGTGGTTTGATTAGTAGACCACTCCTCGAACCTCTGACCAAGAGGTCTAAACTACAAGACAATGGAACACTGTTAGGAGATGTGGTCTCATGGTAGCCGGTCACGAATGATAGGTCCGTACGCCATTTGTCCACTCAAGATTCTGAAACCCACATGCACCATTGGTTTGGAGTCAGGGATTTCTGACTGTCGCATGTGGATCCTCTATATCCACCAACCCGGTTAAAGCCTAATTCTGTAAGCATACGAAAAGTGCTAGGGGATTCTATAGAAAATTTCAAAAGTTGTTTTGAAATCGACATAATGACTGGTATCAATCGAATGTCCTAAACTGAAGCTTTTTATTATTTTTTTTATCATTATCAGTCATGAGTAGTGGTATTCAGAAATCCGATGATGTATTTTGGCCAATATAATTGGCTTCGCAACAGCAGTTGAAATGGTAGTTGCACATAGAGGTGGGGGAACTAGGCAATTTATCTTTATTTTGTGAGCTCACTATTCGCCGGTTAAAGAAAAATGAGCATAATCTTGCTGCATTAAGTGTATTTTTGACGTCTTTTCTTATACATCGAATTATTATTTTGCTGGCATTATAACCTTTTTAATGCAATTTTATGAATAAAGGCTTTTTTGGTACCGTCGGTAACTTTAATTCAAACTTAGTTTTAGACTTATATTTCTTCAGAAGTTTTGATAGGTATCCGCATTCACTTAATAAATCACAAATAAATCTTGATTCCTCTTCAACAGATAATTTTGCCTATGTGGGTCAAGCTATTGACCAAGTTTCTTTAATTAAACCAATGACCTTTTTAACCAATAACAACCGAGAACACACAACGACTGAATACCCTGATTCCTTTCGACTAAACGCAATTCCTTTTTACCTCATATAACTAGTCAGAAGACTAAGACAACAAGTCTATATGCTTACCATTTATAAACTTTAAAAACTTATAGGATTATGTAGATCAATTACATGATCTCAATCCACTTCAAATAAATCAAAATTTTTTTTTACATAACTTGGAGTCATACATGATACAAAAACTGGACAGTGTGCGCATAATTAATTAACGATAAGACATGTATCAAAAGTTAATACGTTAATTAAAAGCTTATAATTAAGACAATATATGCATCCCATATACCAGTCACTTAATAATTACATAATACAAAGTAGAGATATTAGTTTCTATCCTAAAAGCTATAGATTTCGTGCTAGTTGGCACTCATCAGCAATCTGCACTTGTAATCTTGAAGAGAAATGGTGACCCATACGAGATTAGAACTCGAGTCATTCAGTTTCACAATCCAGTTGCCTAAAGTGAAATTGATGAAACCTGATTTCAATCAATTAACTCAGTGGTTATGAATGTCTAGTGTCTTTTTTAACTGTCAAACCATTATTCTAGCAAAGTAGGTTTCAACCATAAATAATTTTCTTTCTATTCATCTCGTATTTTCATTTCTTTTAGGTTTACACCTATTAGGTTTTATATCACAGAAATTTTTAAAACGATATTATTACATTCGTCCAGCACATTTTATTTATCCTGATGAAAAATCAATTCATGGGAGTCGTTTATGGTTTACCGCTTTATTAAATCGATGTTTACATCGAAAATTATTAGCCATAGCTATATATGTTCAACGTAAAGGTCAATTTCCTCGTCTTGTTGCACTACTTCCTCAGGTATTCTATTCGGTTTTAGTTTTTGATTTATATTGTTGTTTATCTTCTTGTTCCAAAGAAATGTAAAGTTTATTGTATACCTATACCACAATTACTTGTTAAGGTAGGAGTCTGTGGAGAATGTTGTCATAATGGACTAGTTTCAACTGATGAGGTATCAAAAGCTGGAAAGTACTAGTCAGTTATTTTTTCTGCTTTTTTGAATTCCCCAGAAGTATAAGCCCAATACTTCACATGCCAATCAATATGACGCATTAAGAACGTTATTTGGTCTTCGCTTTCATCCACTGTTTGTTAGGCTATATGAAATCAAAACCCGAAAGCGAAACATTAAAAGGATTTACGGGATCGCATACATTAGTGGCTACTCGGGATTCGATTGTGTTTTCAGCCTATTTTCTATCATTTATGATGAGTTCTATCTAATGTTAAGTATTTTTTTTCGTCGTAAAAACAAAATAGTTTACATTCTTAGTTCAAAGAAACTTTAAATTGTCGGCTTTTTGTTTCAATATTGAAATATAGATGTAGCAATGTAATTTTTGTTTGTTCTATGCTTAATGTGATGTGTGTCTAATCCTTTAGTATCAATCGAATTCTAATAACCAATACGTTTCAAGGTCTAAATGATTTGACATCGTAGTCAAACAGATTAACAACATGAATACACCAAAGATAACACAGGTTGGCATAAGCCTATCTTACTTTTAATATACGTGAATTGATCTCATCACTCACATTACCGCCATGAGCTACACAAAATTATATAAGTATACGAATTTCTTGACTACTTTTACCTATTCATTACCAAGGGTCAGTTCAGACGCAGGGTCCTACCAGTCTTTTAAAAGTACTTTGCACATAGAAGGTATAAAGCACATGCAATACCTACAGGTACTTCATATGAAAATCCTAATTAATTTACATGGACCGAAGAACTATTAATCATTTTGAAAATAATATGTGTTAAGTTTAGCGATACTGACGAGACTCTTAAACTAAAGTTAAGTAAATAAGGTTTGAACGTGGGACCTCGTTCTTGAAAATCAAATCGTTTGAGTATTAATCTAATATAGTGCTATACTTAATTCATACTAACATGCGTATATTATTCCTCTTTGCAATCCTTTTTAATGATTATGTGAAACCATATATTTACCAAACGTTTTTTATTCATAAAATATGTCTGATGATTTGGGTTTCGGATTCATTAAAACTACTTTGGTTGTCTATTTATTTATTTTAATACATAAACATTGGTACAAGAGACGCCAAATATCTACTATTGTATCTCGTCTAAGTGATATTAAGGTATAAAGTTTGAAGTTTCTAGTTCCGTTCCCATTTGAGAGAAGGAGCATTGTCATTAGACACTGTTGGTGAATTCTTCAACAACTATTTAGTGCTTTTTGGCTGTCACTTTTTCTCCTGTTTATATCGGGCCATGATAAATTTCATACATAATATTCAAATTACATTTTAAATGATTCCTGTCTACTTTATTTATCTAGGCCGAACAGATAAATGATGATGATGATGATGATGATAATGACGGTGCTAATAGAACTCAAACAATACCACCCGGATTTCATATTATATTTTTACCTTACGCTGATGATTTTCGTGATATTGAAATTCCAACGAATGAAATAGGTACGATTATTATCATTATTATTTGTTTTAATTATAGAATTCTAAATTCGGTTCATTTTGTATAACTGATTAATTAATGATAAATAGTGCAATTCACTAAGTTAATTTCAGAATTATGTACTAGTCATAGGAAAAGGGTTTTCAGCCGGTACGTCTTAGGTCTAGACCCTTCTCTGCTGATACAGATTTTGTAGTACTGCTTTCGTGGTATTTTTTCAGGGGAACATTTCCAAGACTGCGTTGTTTGATTGAATCCGAAAAATTCTACAAGAAATCACAGTCTATAGAATATGAGCAGTGAAAAAGAACCATATTTTAATTCGAAGAAAAATGTACCAAGATACATCGTTTCAGAATAATTTATCTGGATTTAAATTTTATAGTCAATCAACAGCTAAGTTGTCTGAATCAAGGCATTATCTTTATTGACAGACACATCATTGAGGGATCAGTACCTAGATCACCTAGATCTTGAATATGAAAATCATCTTATACTTTCTATCCTTCCAATTAATTTATTCTTCTTCAATCATAATTTCATATCTAATGTGTTCTATTACGATTGATAGTGTTGACAGTTTAACTACTCTGGGATTTTTCTTAATAATTTTTTAGCTAACGAATCTCAAGTGGATATTGCTAAGGCCATGATACGTAAACTTATGGTACCATTTACTCCTGGACAAATTGAAAATCCAACATTACAACGGTTTTATTCACTTCTTGAAGCATTAGCTCTTAATCGTGAAACTCAATCGGAAGTTGTTGATCATACATGTAGGTTATTGAAAGTTTTTGTTGTTTTACATTGTTCAACACTAACAGCGTTAAAGACTACACAAGTTTGACATTGCTCACTACTCAGTGGTCAATCAACGTAAATTTGCAACCTCATGAGCCATCTACATACGATGTCTGCCCAGCAGCCACACGTCCCACTACTCTCCTCCATCGACAGCGATTGCTACAGCAACACCGTCCCGTTAGAACACTCTACTCGACGTCACCTAGCACCAGACTGCCCCAACCAGCGCTTTCTCTCCCGGCCCCTCAATAGTATTCCCTGTCTCCCCTTGGAAGCGACACCAAATGTTACACAACTATTGAAAACCTGGGAGTATTGGGAGTTTGTGTCGTCCTGATTCGGGGTTCCACAGCAGTGCAGATACACGGTCGTCGCCCCAGGGATTAAACCTTTGACTTCTGATCTCATGCGAATTCTCAACTCCTGGATCACTGAATTGGGTTCTAACGATTTGGATCTCTCAATCGCATTGGTTTCATTGAAATCATGAACCCACCATTGTTAGGACATCATTGAAAACCTGAACAATCTGGACGGCCTTTTCGTCGTAGTATGGGACCGTAGTGGCTGTTACTATGTCAAGCCCACATAAATTATTCTAGCTTCTGGACAGATAATTTATTCATTCATCTCAAGCCACATTTTGACCTTGTAGGTTATTTGCTTATTAGCCCTGACTGTTTTTATATGATCATATGTGTGTTAATTGCTTACCCTATTCATCACATATCTATAACTTATTTTTACTTGATTATAAATATCAAGTCACGCTTGATTAAGTCGAGTTGACTTACTCGTCTTCTCCACTGCACGTCACTTTGTTTTGTTTTGCTTCCTTCACTTCGTTTCTCACAATGTCTGTCTGGATCAATGAGTGTGTGAGATATGTGTATTCAAAATTCATTCTTGTATTTGGCTTATTTTATCCCGTTATTCTCTAACGCAAATTAAGTCGATAAAATCTATATGAAGGTTGGCGGCATGTATATTTCGATAACAGTCATCATGTGATTTATTTGGAGTCAGATATAGGGTCACTAAAGGACTTCCCGGCAGTGAGCATTCACTACCCTACACACGGGAATGGAGTTCAGGATCTTCGGTTTCGCGCAGTAACACTTGACCTGTAGAACACTAAACTGAAATCCAACGGTGTTAGTCTCTAACTTAGTCAAACAAATGGACATCCAGTGTTTGCAGGTTTTCAGTGATGGCCTAACATTGACCGGTTGATGATTTGATCGAAACTCAACAATCTTCACAAACTCATACTGTTAATTGGCTCAATTTATACTATCAAGGAATCATTTTCCAATATACTTGATGGGTAACTGGCCCACAATCGACATGGTGAAACATCGCTGGGTATAGATTTTCATCAAAATTTCAAAATTAGTCACTGGTTAGCGCATAATTATTTGCTAGAGGGGAGGGTACTAATATTACAAATTTATGGAATTAGATACTGCAGTTGTTTGAAGGTCATGACAAGAGGTCCTAGATTTAATCCCTGTTGACGTGGTTGTGGATGTACATTACTAAGGAGTCTCATGCAAGAACAAAACAGCTGTTCAATACTTTCAATTAGTCTCTTTTATAAATTTCGATAGAACGATGAGAAAGAGTTAATGTGAAAAATGTGATGTATTTGCACCAACATCCCGAACAATTTGCTCACATATATACTTATTTTTCAACAGTTGTTTAACCATTAATATTCTGTGATGTTAACTATGAAAAACAGAAATTCGATAAATCACTTTATTCTACTTTTACTCGTTTCTCCTGTTTTCAATCAGTTTTAACATTTCGATGTTGTTTCTCTTCTATTTTTTGTTGGTAATAAAAACATTAAAATTCGATTTTTTGTTTGTTTGAAAAAAAAATCATTTTAGTACCTAAATTTGGAGCTATCAAAAGAAGAGCCAGTGAAGAAATTACAGCATTCAAAGAATGTTTCAATTTAAATAACGAGAGTATATTCAAAGTGAGTAAAGTAAAGTGTAAAGAAAAAATCTATATTCGGCATTCAGTATTAATGCATTTGTGAGTCAATAAGAATTAAAATTGATCAAAGTTGGGATTATATATCACTTGAATTATTAATCAGTTCAGTGATTTTAAGGATCTCTGCGAAACCTGAATGTCGTGGATTCCATTTATGTATGGAGTTATGGATTGGTTACTGATGAAAAGTGTTCCATACTAGGACGAAACAACTTTCCAGTACTCCCCGGTTTTCAATGACAGTTTAAATGAAGTCGATTCATGAAGAATATCACATTCAAAACATTAAGCCTTTAGTTTCATTAATTTTGAAACACTGACTTCGTATTACTTAAAGGACTTAACTTTCCACTTAGTGGATTACAGCTTGGGCTTACTTACTTACTTCTTACTCCTCATAAGGGATAGGCCACCGACCAGGCAGGTGTAAACAGCGAATAATATTAATAGTTGCATGTAAAGTGTAACTTGAAAGCTGTATATACGACTAAGTGTTTTGTAAGGAGTTACCTTGGTTATATTAATTTAGAAACACATCTTTTGTTTAGCCAGTCAACGTGGAGGTTTATGAATTTGAGTCCTGTCCTACTTAATGACGTTTCGACAGTCCTAGAATGTTTTATTAAGCCTCAAAATTTAATTATTTATTTAATCACTTACACTGTTTTTATGCATTTCGCTAAAACTAATCTTCAATCATACACTGTTATTTGTCAACATAAGGAAACATTTAACGGAACAATTTTAATTTGGTTATTTATTCTCTGAAGAAGTGACTTACACTAAGTCACGAAACGTCAGAAAATCTAATTTTTCTACTCATTGGGATATTACAAATATATTATTTATTTATTTATAACAATCTACCCAATGCTCAATTTATTCGAAATTATCAAATCAAATCTTGGTAATGATACCTATAAGGAAACTTTATTGGAAAGATTATTATTTATTTTATAGTTATTAGAAGGGGTTTTATGGAGATTTTTTTAAATAGAAATCTCAATAGTTGGAATCATAAGTCAATTGAAGCTAAACCACCATGGAAAACCCGGAAGCACTGGACGGCCGTTTCGTCCTAGTATGGTACTCCTCAGCAGTGCACATCCACGATCCCGCTCTCCGCGAGATCCGAACCCAGGACCTATCAGTCTCGCGCGCCAACGCCTAACCATTAGACCACTTAGCCAGCATCCAACGGTGTTAATGTCGAACTTCAACCAATCCACGAAGTCGCGCCACCGTAAACCATAGTTATTTAACAGTCTTGTTAAGTACCGAATTAAGACATCTCTCCATAATTAATTAACAGATTTCGAGGTAATTGACCGTTTTTGATCAGTAGGATACATATTCATAAATTATTCTACAAGAGATGAGTAAATTATGTCATCACTTAATTAGAATATTGAAATATGTGAGAAAATCATCAATATACAAACTAGCTATTATTCAAATTTCATTCCAGTTACATAACATTCACTATACGTTAATAATTTGTTATTATAAACGTGTAACCGATTTGTTCTTTTATTTAAAATACCAAGTCAGTTAGGTGAATTCATAAGATCTCCTTTATTGTTGATCTATTAACAAACATTAGTTTGTGAATAAGATCAAATTCATTCTTGAATATTAGTTAGTGTGAGGATAGTACAAATTTGTTGGAAACTAAGGAACACTTTTTTACCTGTTTTGTTGTAGTATGGGACTCCACAACACTGCCCACTTATGACTCTTCAGTGGTTAAATGCAAAACTTTCAAGTCTAACGGTGAACACATAACTATTTGAATTACTGATATGGCATCTAATGGTATAATTTCAACGGCAATCATTTTGCGGTAATTCACAATATACAGTGTTTACAAATGAGTTAATTGACCAAAACTATCAAATTAGGTATTTATTATAGTAGTTATGTTTCTGTGAAAGATATTTATGGTATATCAATTGTTAAATGCATAGCACCGTTTATGTACGGTGCAATAAAGTATTTTTAATTTCTATCTGAACTATTTAGATTTCTTTACGGGGTACTAGTTGGTAACCAGTTTTGATAATACGCTATACTTTATTTGATGACTTTATATGATTTAAGGCCATCACTATTATAATCCATGTGTTGTTCAGGATGTATGCAAGGTTTATTTGTATTGTTGGTAAAAATATTGCTGTTTTCGGGCTTCAAACCACCATTTTTGTATGTATCGTGTAGAAGTGATCCAATAATAGTCTATTAACATTCTCAGTCACATATTTAAACCCGTCTCCGTTTACTTAGTTATGAGAAACCACGGTAATATCTCTTATTCTTACATAGTAAATTCAACTGAAAGCCGATTGTCTCTACATGAACTTACTTACTAAGTTGTATTAAGTTTACAGTTACTTGTTACTAATATTATTGATCGTATTTATTTTATTTTCTCCTACAAAAACAGAAACCTCGTCCTACACAATCCACTTGTAATAAAGAAGCAAAATGTTGTTTATCTGAGATAGAATGTAAAGAAGCTGTTCAATCAGATAGTCTACACAAATATACAATACCTGTATTACGTGAAACAATCAAATCACTTGGTCTCAAAATTTCAGCCAGTAAAAAATCAGATATTATTCAAAAAATCATGAACCATTTTTCAGAAAACTAAATTTTTTTTTAATTGTCAGTTTGTCAGCCTTTTTCTTTTGTTTCCCCCATTTTGCCCCGTTTGCTTTCTCTGAAGTGAACACTAGAAGACACGTGAAGAATATCAGTAATGTAACTGTGTATAGACAATAATATTTAAGTGTTTCACAGTGAACTATTTTTTTTTCTTTCGAATAACCTTATTACTGTTTATTTTTATAACCTTTGTCCATGACATATTTTTCTTGTTATTTTGATAATGTCAAAATAAACAAACAAATTCCAATACTGAACATTCTTTAAATAAATATTGATCATTGAACATAGTTTGTTATTTTTATTGTTTCATATAATTTGAAAAACTGACCTAGAACGATAATTCAATTTGATGGGATTAAAAAAAAAACCAAACTTGTCTTATGATTTTGTATAGGAGATTAATGTGATTTGTCTTATTTTTCTTTGTTTTACATCAAGCTAGTCACGTACAATTCATGTACTGAACATTTCGATTTTTTTTATGATAAATAGAATTGTGAAAAGATTTAGTTTCATTAATTGTTTACTTACAGTTTATTCGTTGAGTACTCAACTTGAGTTTAACATGATTGAATAAGTTTTTGATAAATTGATCACTGAATAGGTTTCTTATCTACTTCCTGTAACTATCTGGTATCACAGTATAGTGCAGGAGATGTCGAAACATTTAACCTATTGGTCATATTCTAAAATGATCGATTGAACTCAGTCAATTCTAAAAGAATATGACATTAGTCACTATTCAATGACCAGTTAGCTGTAAAAAAATAATAATTCATCTCTACTTCTCTATTTTTCTTGACTTATCTTGGTGATAGTGATTGGGTTGCATAGTCTTCATTTTGTTTATTTTTCATATACATATATATTTTACGAATAGTCAATATTTGACAGTTTTACATAGTTTGCTACTAATTGTGGACGTTTGTACTGATCACTATTTGTGATATTTAGAACCACATCATTTAATTGATCAATTTCTGTTGACCTATATGTATTCTTAAACTGATACCTCAATATTGACTATACCTACGGATTGATTATACTTTGAATAGTGTCTATCGGTGGGACTGATTATAAATGATGAACAGGATAACCTAAACTGAGGTTTTATTCTAGTTGCAGTTTTTCAGGTAGACATATTTACAATATTCGGGTAACTGATATTTATTGTGGGATTTAAATCACCTATTGAAGTGTTTAAGTCGCGATAACCATTTATTGTAGTAATTCAATCCGTTTTGTTGATGATTAAAGATTAATTCAATATGATATTAGTTAATATACAGTAAGTAGTCAATTAGTGTAAATTTATGACTTCTAAAATAAAACTTTTAACTTGATGTTCATAGAACAAGGAAGATGGTATTTCTCTTTCTTTCTTTCTTTCTTTTTCTCTTCAAGTTTGTCCAGTATTTTTTTCTATTTTTCATTGTAACCATGGTTGTATGCATATTAATTAGGTTACGACTAGTTACTATAGGCTTTTTGTCAGTATTTATGTGGCTTATTATAACATTTAAAAAAAAAGATTATTCAATTAAATCTTAGTAAAATTAACAATGAAATACAAATGAATCATTTACCATTTAAGTAACTTAGTGATTATTTAAAAGGTATGGGCTAGTAATAGAAAAACAATTAATAATTGGAAATTAATTATTCATTCTCTACAAGATATATACTGTTTAAAATCGGTAACATTGATTAAATATTCAGTTAGCTTATTCATTACAATCATACGTAGCGAGATTAATGGATAGTGATATAATTCGTTCGATGGTTGAGTAGTGGTTTAGGCGTTCAAATTTCAGCCACTAAGTTACCAGTTCGAACTCCACTGTATTTGATTCGGTTTCAACAACTGAATAGCATCATTTAACCTTATTATTTGGTAGCGTTATGTTAATTTATACACATAGAGTTAAAGACGACACTGTTGCTTAACTAAACTGAATCGGTAGACTACCACCCTACACTTTTATTCTGAATGTAGTTTTATTTCGAGTTTTGTTTTAAACTTAAATTGATAAAGTAGAATATTTCATTCAATCAAAATAATTTTGTTCTTTGTTAATCAAGAGACGATTGGATCAGTGATATATTTGATTATCATGTGATGACTAGTGACTAGCTTCGAAAGTTCCCGGAGTTCTAGTACGAAGCCATGACATTGAAGCTAATCCGTGTCGGACGTGAAACAGTTACTCATTGAAGACCATGGAGGATAGTTGCGGAATGTCGTGAATTGATTGAATATAGGTATTAACACGGTTGGATGCGAACTTAGAGCTTAAACGCCCCCATGCATGACCTGGGTTCGATTACCGCGTGTGTGGGGTCGTGGTTGCACAATGCTGAGGAGTCTCATACCAGGAGAAACAGCTGTCCAGTGCCTCCAGGTATTCGATAGTGGTCTAAATAACATTAGTATGTGATATCAAGTGTGAGAATATCACAATTTCCGCAAATTCTCCATACTAATATATTTTCATACTGATTTTTTAGGAAGCTGCTTTCACAATTGATTGATCACTGGGTGGTGATCAATCTCATGCTTGTCTAGTCCTTATTAGTGCAGATCGAATGCTATCGATCATGTGAAGCTGGGTGACACGAGATCGAATCCGCCAGGGAGCACCAGTTCCCTCAAGATTACAGGTACACCTTGCTGACGAGTGCCAAGTAGCACGAAACCCGGGTCCAGGGTTTCCTGTTGACTACCTCCAACCACCATCTAATCTCAATAGGAAGCTGCTTTGTTTAACCATTAATTAATATTGGAAAATTTTACCTTTTCAAAAGTACTTGTTTATTTTCATGTTCTTATGAAGTCTCAAATATATTTTCATACTATAAATAAAATTAGTTCATTGAATTGAGTATTTATTTGTTTATTGTTTACCATTACATGATATTTACACATCATTTAACTAATAGGACGAAACACGCATCCTAGAATTCACTGCTAACCACTATCCATCTTTGCTTATAAAGCTCGTGACTCAAGGCAATATCGAGACAATCCGCACAGGGTTTACTTATGCCAATAAGAGACTGATCAATTGCAGTCCTAAGCATCTACGGGAAGATTCAAGTGAATTGAAACTTCACCTCATTGCACAAGCAAGTGGCTGTCAGGACTCAGTAACTAAACGGATAACGCGATAACATTTGAAGCGACCGGTACTGGGTTTGAGTCTCAGAGTGAATTTTAACTCTGAGATGCAGGTACATTGAGTTGACGAGTCCAAGACACGATTTCACTGACAGCCATTATCCATCTTTGCTCATTTAATTAATAGTTCGCATTTTGTTTAGTATATATATCTTATTTAATCATGGACAAAAGATAGTTTGGTATAACTGAACTAACTATAACCGTCACAATGAGTATGTGGATTCACTCATTCCATGTATTTATGCTCCCACCAATATCTACATTTATAATTATGGTTCTGTAGACAGCGAACTACTTAAATGCCCTACTTAATTTAAAACATATTGTCCCTTGTTAGTAAGAGTACTATTAATTTTACTTTTATTAGTTGATTAAACAACTACTGATAATGAGAATCATTTGCTGACTTTTTTGAACACTTATGCTTCTGATTACTTCTGGCTGTATTTATTTATCTTGAATACATAGTAATAATACTGTAACATAATTTACTTTGTTTCAAAAATACTCTGTTTTATAATTGAATTCATCAGTCAGTTGAAGCTAGACCACGATGAAAAACCCGGAGGCACTGGAAGGCCGTTTCATCTTACTGTGGGACTCCTCAGTAGTATTCATCCACGATACCGCCCCGCGAGATTCGAACCCAGGACCTATCAGTTTCGTACGTAAACGCTTAACCTCTAAATCACTGAGCCGGCATCCGGTGGTGTTAATGTCTAACTTCAACTTAATCTAACTGGATGCTTGAATTGGTTTCCTAAGCTCTTCTAATAACCTCAAGCTAAATTTATACGATAAATTAATCACTATAGAAAAGGGCTCAGAATGTGGAAAAAACGCTTTACTTTCAGGTTCGTTTATGTACAGAAAATCGAGGATACTTAAAATATTTCAAATGGCCTTAAACTTTTGAAGTCTCTGAAATCATACCAAATATATCAGCAGGATAGGTAACCATTGAAGAAGAAGAAGAAAGAAGGCAATTCACCGAGGAAACTTTTTTCTTAATGATTTCATTCATTTATGCTGTATAATCGTATTTATAGTTCAATTTACTTTAATAATAATCTATAATAAAATAGAATGGTGCTGAATAATTAAGAAAATTTGAAATGGTTCTTTGTCATGAATTGTTTACTTAAATCAGATAATAAAAGGAAGTTATGTTGTGCAAAGTAGTAAGGTAGAGAGCATTGTTCATCAACTTTTCTGACTGAATATATAATTGAAAGGAGACTTTTGTCGAAGTTGAATGGTCAGAATTAACTGTTGAGCTTTTAATTGACTACTGTAATCCTTTTGAAAGCCAGGTAGTATAATGTTCGTAGATATGTTTTGAAAGATCTCACTTTTTACAGCCAATATAATCTGCTCCTCTGAGCAAGTAAACTGATAGATGCACAGTGATTGAACCCAACACAACTATACATCGTAGGCCGACTAGGAAAGATCATGCTAAGTTCAAATGAATCGAATTTTTTCATCAGAGATCCGGAAAGTCTTTTTTAATATTTCTGGTACGGCATCTCCTTTAAAATGATTGCTCACGAAGAGTCTTTTCAATACTGTGGATACCATTTCATATATTATTAGTAGCTGCTCTGGTAGTCAGAAGGGTCATTGGACTTGTGACTTTCGAAGAATTCCAGCTTTCACTATGGGGCGTCGTAACTTCAATATATATGGAGATCCTTCAATGCCTAGGGTAGAGTTTAATTGCTTTAAATGATCTATTCTGGTTAGTGTTCTTTTCTACGGGATTGGTTTACTAATCTAATACCCAACCTTCTCTTTTATTCGAAGTTGGCAGGATCCCTAGTGGGGCTTAATGGAGGGTTTGTTAATTGGTAACCTTTCCTAAGCAAGAACTAAATTCATCTGTTTATGCTTCATAATAAATCGCTTTCCTTCCGAGTATGTAACTTGTATTCACTAAGGTATACATTCTGTTCACATAATTTAAAATATGTTTAACTTGTAAATTAGCGCTAACTGGTCGGTTGAGATACGAATAATATTTGGTAACATAACTCGTGTCACATCATTTAGTAATTTCTAATGATTTCCTCCATACCTTCAACATATATCACATGGTCTCCCACGTTAGTTATTTGTAGTTAATTAATGTCCTCCATTGTCTTCAGTGAGTAACTGCCTCACATCAGACACAGTTGAACTCCACTGGTTACGGCTTCTCACCTAGAACTCCAGGAAATCCATCTTGAAGCTAGTCACTAGTAAGCATGTGATTATTATCAGATGGGGATTTATGGACATTGTAGTTGAGTCCAATCCTTGTAGGGTGTAGACAGTTATCCACATCAGACAATGGACGAAAGATCGAT